TCCAAACCTTTTGTCATCATTAGTACTGCTACTACAGGAAAACTTGAAAGAAGACAACCATCATAGAGACCTGATGCTTAAGTTATTATCTCTCCTAGGTCTCTCTCCTTAAACAAGATTGTTGTTGTTGTTGTTATGTGCCATCGAGTCGGTTCTGACCCATAGCGACCCTGTATAGGGTTTCCGAGGGTGTAAATCTTTACGGGAGTAGAAAGTCTCATCTTTCTCCCACGGTGCAGCTGGTAGTTTCGAACCGCTGACCTTAAGGTTCGCAGCCCGATTCGTAACCAGAGCTCTGCATTTAAAGGGCATGGCACAGGGAATTGCAAAAAGTAGGTGCTATTTGATTTGTAAAAATCAACATCATTGAAAATTACTAAACTTTATTCAGTCCCTAAAAGTCAAGTGTTGTGCTAAGTACTTTAAGTGCATTACAGCAGGTAAGTCTTACAGCACCTCTGCAAAAGTGAATAATGATATTGTTGCTATTTCATAGAGGAGGACATTGAGGCTTTTAGAGTTTAGGCAATTATCTATAATCACAGAGACAGTAAATAGTTGACTTGGAATTTCAGCACAATCTTGTTTAACTCCAGAGTCCTGCTCTTAACCACTATGCTAATTTTACCTGATTAATTCACATTTTGCATGAAGAAACTAATGATCATAGAATCAGAGATCTCTATACACTAATCTAAAAATTAGTGTATTATCATGATATTATCTAGCACAGATCTCACCTCAATACTAAAGTCACCAGAAATATTCAAATTCCAAAACTGGTGTGAAATTTGGGGGACTATATTGAAATATCTAACAAGTGCTCAACATCATACAGGAAGAAAGTAAAATGTCATTTAAAAGACAGGAAAAAAAGAAAAGACAAAAATGGATGTCAGAAGAGAATGAAACTTGCTCTCCAGTATAGAGATGTTAAAGTGAATGGAAGAAATGAGGAAGTCAAAGAGCTCAACAGAAAATTTCAAAGAACAGATGAGAAGACAAAGACAAGCATTATAATGAAATGTGTAAAGACCTTGAGTTAGAAAGCCAAAAAGGGAAGAACACGCTCAGCATTTCTCCAGCTGAAAGAATTGAAAAAAAAATTCAAACCTAGACTTTTAATATTGAAGGACTTCATGAGCAAAATATTGAATGATGCAGAAAGCATCAAAAGATGATCGAAGATATACACATAGTCACTATACCAAAAAGAAATGGTCAGTGTTGAACTGTTTCAAAAGGCAGCATGTGATCAGCAACTACCGGTACTGAAGAAAGAAGTCCAGGCTGCACAGAAGGTATTGGCAAAAAAACAAAGCTCCAGGAATTGATGGAATGCAAAGGAAATCTTTCAACAAACTGATACAGCATTAGAGGTACTCACTCATCTATGCCAAGAAATTTGGAATACAGCTACCTGGCTAACCAATTGGAAGAGACCCACATTTTTGCCACTTTCACAGTGAGATACCCTAACAGAATACGGAAATAATTGAATAATATCATTAATATCACGTGCTAGTAAAATCTTGTTGATTTCATAACTGTAAGAGTACATCAGCAGGGAACTGACAGAAACTCAGAAGAGGATGTGGAAGTATGGATATCACTGATGATATCAGAAGGATCTTGGCTGAAAGCAGCTAATACCAGAAAGATGTTTACTTGTGCTTTATTAACAATACAAAGGATTGTGACTGAGTGGGTCATGACAAGCTATGAATAACATTGCAAAGCATAGTTTTCCTAGAACACTTGATTGTACTCGTTGTTGTTGTTGTTGTTGTTGTTGTTGTTGTCAAGTGTCCTTGAGTCAATTCCCACCCATAGCGACCCTGTATAGGGTTTCCAAGGAGCAGCTGGTGAGCTTGAACCCCCGACCTTGCCGTTCAAATGGCTTTGCAGTCTGGCACATTAACTCACAGGGACCTGTAAATAGACCAAGAGGCCGTCATTCCCCAGAACAAGAGAACACTGAATGGTTTACAATTAGGAAAAGTGTGTGTTAGAGTTGTGTCCTTTCACCATTTTACTCAATCTGTATGCTGAGCAAATAATCCAAGAAGCTGAATTATATGAAGAACAATGTGTCATCAGGATTGGAGGATGGCTCATTAACAACCTGTGATATGCAGATGATACAAACTTGCTTGCTGAAAGCAAAGAAACTTAAAATACTGATGAAGATTGCAGTACAGATTACATCTCAATGTAAAGAAAACAAAAATCCTTACCACTTGACTAATAAATATCATCAAGATAAATGAAGAAAATGTTGAAGTTGTCAAAAGACTTCATTTTGCTTAAATCTACAATCAACATTCTTATGTATATTGTTGTTGCTAAGTGCCATCAAGTTGGGTCCAACCCATTGCGACCCTGTATATGGTTAATAGGAGCAGCTGGTGAGCTTGAACTGCAGACCTTGCAATTCAAACCGACTTTGCAGTCCAGCGCATTAAACCACAGTGCCACATATGGAGGTAGCAGTCAAGGAGTGAAACAACGTATTGCATTAGGAAAATGTGCTGCACAAGACCGCTTTAAAGTGTTCAAGAGTAAAGATGCCAGTTTGAAGACTTAGGTACACCTGACCTAAGTCATGATATTTTCAACAGCCTCATATGCATGTGAAAGTTGGACAATGAATAAGGAAAACGATAGATGAATTGATGCATTTTTGGAGAGTTAATATTGAAAGTACCATGGACTGTCAGAAGAACAGTCATATCTGTGTGAGAAGTACAACCAGAATGCTCCTTTGAAGCTAGCATGATGAGGCTTCATCTCTCATACGTCGGACATATTATCAGAAGAGACCAGTCCCTGGAGAAGGACATTATGTTTGGTAAAGTCAAAGGTCAGTGAAAAAGCAGAAGACCTCCTCAATGAGATGGACTGTCACAGTGTCAGTAGCAGAGGGCTCAAGGGTAGCAACAAGTAAGGATGGCACGAAACCAGGCGGTGTTTCGTTATGTTATGCATAGGGTCACTATGAATAACATAAGGTCGCTATGAGTCAGAGCAGACGCCATGGCACCTAACAACAACCACCACCACCAAGTAATCAAACTATTTTAAAAGCTGTACAGGGAAGTACTTTGTCATACTTTCTTACTTATAGACATCTGTAAGGAGCCCTGGTGGTGTAGTGGGTTATGAGTTAGGCTGTTCACCGAAAGATCAGCATTTCAAATCTAGCAGACACTTCATGGGAGAAAGATGAGTCTTTCGGCTTTCTTAAAGATTTAATCTCAGAAACTCTATACAGGATCACTATGAGCACATCACCATCACCTCTATAGATATCTGTACATTGCAATATTTATTATCTTACTATGTTGTTGTTGTTATATGCCATCGAGTCAGTGCTGACCCATAGCAACCCTGTATAGGATTTCCAAGGAGTGGCTTGTAAGCTTGAGCCACTGATCTTGCGATTCAAATGACTTTGTAGTCCAGCACATTAACCCACAGTGCCACACCAGTACTCCTTATCTTACTGTGATGCTGTTGTTGTTGTTGTTGTTAAGTACCATCAAGTCAGTTCCAACCCATAGCAACCCTGTATAGGGTTTCCAAGGAGTGACTGGTGAGCTTGAACTGCTGGCCTTGCAGTTCAAACAGCTTTGCAGTCTGGTGCATTAACCCACAGAACCACACCAGGACTTCTAGTGACCTTAATAAAATCCAACCCAAATTTTGACACTACCAGTAAATTCTATTTGAGGTATGATCAACAATAATTTAGACAATACTTTTGAAAGTGTTTTAGGAAGAATGTCCTAAATTCTAATCTTTTTTTTTGTCTCTCAGTATCTGTACTATCATACACATTTGTTCCAAGTACCATCAGAGGAACCTCTATGAATTTTTTGTCACTGTTCAATGGATTTGGTTGTTTCATGGGAGCAGTGCTGGTGGAGTTGGTGTATTTCATATCAGAAGGTAAAAATAAGTTCATGGTGTTTATATATGTTGGTTTGATGGCTAAGGAATTGGAAGACAAAACCTTAAGAGAGTGGCTTTGCCAGTGCAGGGTTTTTTGTGTTTTTTTTTTTCTTTTAATTGATCCACTTTTGCAATTAAGATAGAATTAAGATAGGAAATAGACTCTTGCTGTATTCATTAATTTCTGGGAATTGTTTTCTTTTGATAGGAGGAGGTAATTACAGAATGTCACTTCTCAGGAGACACTGTCTGCTGTCTTTCTTTAGTGTATTTTAAAACAAACTGGTCATTATAGTCCTATTAGGTCTTTCACGGAGGCCATATTCAATAATGCCTCATGATTAGCATAAACAAGCCTCAGAAAAGGTAAGGCCTGTGTAAATACAGGGTAACTGGATGATCACTCCCCACCCTAATTTACCAAAAACCATGTCTATGCAGCCAAAGAGAAAGTGTGAGTTGAACAAGAAATGGTCTTGGGAACCAAAAACATTTCAATTGCAAATGTAAAAAGTACTATTATTTGGTTACATGTGCTAGTGGAAAAATCAGACAGGATGGCAATGATGATGAGTTATCTTTATTAAATTGTAAATCCATGAACTATTTTTCTTTATTTATTCTAATATGTTAATATAACTTAAATTTTACTTTAACTTGCTTTTGTTCATTTTATGGAAAATACTGTAATCTTATCCTTCCCTGTTTTCAAAAATACATACAGTTCTACACTTAATGTAATAAAAGTACTCATTTGTGTTCTCTTACAACAAAAAGTTTTATTTACCTACTTTCAAACTAACTTTTGTGAATTATTAACTTCTATGAATAAGGAAAAAACTAACTTCTGTGAATAAGGAAACTCCTTTTAACGGTTAATCACCATTCAAATAGTACTGGTGACCTATTCTATGTCAGGAGTTCTGGTCTGACACTGTAGGATAAGAACTGGACTGCTAAACACTAGGTCAGTGGTTCAAACCCAGTCACTCCTTGGAAACACTATACAAAGTTGCTATGAGTCAGAATTGACTCCACTGCACTCAACAATTCTGTTTCAGGAGCCATATAAGTCACAGGGGATTCCAAGAGAAGTGAAGACCTCCTGGTGTGCACTGTAAGATCAGCAATGGACTGTGAACCACCACTAGGTCAACATTTCAAACCCATCAGCTGCTTCTTAGAAACCCTATATGGGGTTGCTATGAGTTGGAACCGACTCAACAGCTCTTAACAACAACTACAACCCTCACACAATCATCAGGGACACAAGAAAGTAATAAAATTAAGGTCAATACATTCAATGCCTGGCATAGTATAGTTCTAGGGAGCAAAGTTACTTATCTTGATTGGTACTTGACAAGATCAAATTCCTTCCTTTTCTTAGTTATTTGAAATAGGCAAAAGCATAGTCCCATTAATAAAAGAGCTCAAATCAAAAGTGTCATAAGTTACTATGTGAACTGCAGTAAATTTCTGACTTCTCTGGTAATGTAAACAGAGGAGAAAGCACTTGTATTTAAATTCTGTAAGAGAGTTTGGGAAAGTCTTACCAATATATGTACTGGAAATATTTTAGGTACTGAGTATGCATTTCCTTTCTTCATGCTATTTTCAATGAAGATATTTCCAAAAATGTTGCTAAAAATAAATTTCTATAATCAGGTGAGATTTTACATATTCTAGAAGAACTTCAAAATCAAATATCATCACTAGTTTACATTTTACATAAATCTATAATATCAAATATGTGTTTAAGAAACTAAACATTTAATGATAATTTGCATAATGTGTTAAAAGCATTTTATATATTATCACACTTATTGCAAGAATCTTGTAAAGATGGTAATATCCTCACCCACATTCCAAATATGCAACAATTATGACATAAAAGGGAAAGTGAGGCAGTCATTGCAACTAGTCGTTGATATCTGAGCTTCAGCATTCTGAAACTGATGCCGAAATTCAATTCAACACCAATGTCAGCACCAAGCAGCTATTAGTGATCAATCCATGTCTCATCATCAGTAATGATTTTGTTAAGAAAATTTTACCTTCCTTTGAGTATTAGTCCAAAGTTTTTTTTGTTGTTGTTGTTGTTGTTGTTGTTTGTGGGTTTTTTTTTACGGATGTCCAAATACTTCTGTTTGTGCTCTTCTGGTATAAATAGTAGTTTTGGTGCCCATCTCGCAAAAACTTTTCAAAACCCAAGTCTGTTGTAGATTACTTC